TGGATGGATGGATGGATGGATGGATGGATGGATGGATGGATGGATGGGCAGGTGTGGGTGGACAAGGCAGACAGACAAATTTGGACATTTCCATGTATATACCCATTTTTAATATTCTTACAGATATTCCTGAAATACTTTTTCTTGTCTGATCTAACAGTTTTCTGGAACTCTTTGTTAAGTTCTTAATTTTTTTCTCTTGCCTTTGGCTTCTTATCTTTGCTTGACAATTTCCATGGTCTGTTTGTTCTGACATCCAGTTAGCTTTCTTCTGTTTCCTTGCCTTTGGCTGCCTTTTCTCACATTCATCCGTAACAGCTTATATAAGTTCATCCCAGGCTGTCCCTGGTTTTTGATCCGGGAAGTTCAGAATAAAAAAATAAAAAAAAACACCCCAACCTCCTGATGCTCTTAAAAATAGTGGCTCAAGATTGTATTGTGGAAACTGGTTGGCTTTCTCCTCCTTTAACTGAAGTTGAAACAAAGATATTCATAATTCCTCATAAAGGAACATACTTTAAGGGTATATTTGAACTGGAGAGCAGCACACCATGAGAGTGAAACACGAATTGTTTAATGGCACGTCTGATACCCAAAGGCAGAGCAGAGAAGCCTGATGTCCTCTTTATAGACTTAGGCAAATTATCCTTTTATTTGATAGGTTGCAATTAAAATTGTGCCTACTCATGAATCAAATGATAGGACGTAGTGGACAGTGAGAGTGAGAAGATGAACCTTAGTGATTGGATTAATTTACATACATATTGGGTTGTGTAATAAAGAGGTAGAGAGGATAAGATAAGGCACAATCGATTCTTTAGGTTAAGCAAAAGGGTTTAAAAATGGGGCTCTAATGTAATTTCAGCTGGGCTGCTATCTGAAAACTTCAACCTCTCAGTGCTTCCATTCCTTCAGCATTTTTGTTTCCATTTTTTTAGCACCTTGTTATGTTAACTACCTCCTGGCACCTGGTTGCATTTTTAGCTGAGTTCCAATCTTGTTTATGCAAAGAATATGCATCACCCTGTTGCAGCACGTCTAGCGCGCATGGGTTGATTTTTATTTCTTGATTTTGAAATTCGAATTCTGGCTAATGTGGCATCCCAGAGGGATTATGCTTCAAGATGTCCCGGATGCCCCAGTATCCACTAAAAATTCAATTTTGCAATTTCTTGGTCCCACTTGCAATTTTATCCAGTGTTCTTGGTGGAACCTCAGATGCAATGACTCCTGACATATTTTATTTTTCTATCATCTAATTTTCTCTGTTCCTCCCCCTCTCTCTAACTTTAGTAAATCACACACATTACTCCATGAGAGCTTTCTCATACATGCAATTTCTTTATATGAAAGTACTCTCCTTTTAATCTGGGATGGGGGTCAACACAGAGACATTTTCACCAATGTTCTGGTTTTTTTTTCTTCATCATCAACATACTCACACATTTATACTGTAATCAGACTGCTTGCACAACCAATTTCTCAAACAAAAATTTCATTTCATTCTTTCATTCTTTCTCCAAGCAAATCAATCATTACTTACAATTCTTTTCTGAGAGCTTTTTCTCACAAGCCAATGAGCTCCATTTTTTTTTTCTGTTGTTAGACGATCTCATCCTCCAGGTTTGGAAATGATTACACAGAGACACATTCACACACACAACATTTCCAGACCTGGGGAGGTTTTGTCCCTTTTTCTTGAGTCAGGACTCCAAGAGTCATATTATTCTTTGAGTCCACATACAAATTGAAAGATTTCTCAAGGTTGGGAAGTCCCATAACAGGAGCTCACATGTTCAAACAAAGTTGTTCACATGTCCAAACAAAGGGTTCCCTTTCTCCCACCTTTGTGGACTCATAGAGTGATTTGGCTAGCAGGGCAAAATTTCTACAATAGCCTGCTGCTTAAAGAAACCCCTGTCAGTTAGTTCTGTAATTTGGCACACAGCTTCCTTTTTCTCATGTCCTATAGCTCTGTGGCCTTGACTTATAGTATCACCTAAGTATTTAACTTGGGGATTCACTAATTGGGCTTTCTTTCTTATTGCTTTAGTGAACTTCTCACTTTTACTTGAAGTTACAATCATTGTTAAGCACTAGATTTTTTACTACCTGTCTCTGCCCTAGGTGTTCTGTCCCTTATCTTTCTCGTTTGGATCTCCCAGACGATGCTGGCTTATTTTTAAAGATCAAGTTCTATGGAGACCTTCTTTCAAACATTATTTGCACCTGGCCAGGGCTCTCATGAGCAAGTTTGAACTCCACTTTTCTTTTTAAAGACAACTTTTACTGTTTAACATGTCCCCATGGGCTCCATGGAGAACACAGCCTTAATCTTACCAGTTCCAGATAGACACTCCTATGCCTGTTTCCAAATATAACACTAACCTTACCTATTTCTCAGTCCTTAAGGAGTTTCACATATTTTCTTCTTTAGCCAAAAGTATTTTACTATCTGCTGGGGGCTCAGGACCCAACCTACATTTGCTTGTTTCCCCCAGATGATCCTACCCGTATTGTGGTTCCTCAATTATGTATTTTGCCATTTTTCAATGCACAAATTTATCATCCTGTTTTTACTTAAACTTTTAGTCCAGGGGAGTAGGTTTTCCTCACTCCACTGGCTCAATAACTGCTCTAAAGGGTATTTTCACACCCTTACGTGTTAGAGTCACCCCTAAGGGTTCGCTGTACCTCCTGCAGCAAGAAAGTTAGCTGCAACAACTACAAGAATTCCCCATTCTTGTTGAGATTCCCTAACCTGTGTAACTGCCCCTCCTATAACCTTGCCTTCCCCGGCTTCCTCCCAGGGGTCTTCAGAGGCCCCTATGAAAATGCCCTCCTCTTCCACCTGGTCCCTCTTCCTTATTCCTTTCAGGACATTCACCCTTCCAATGTCCTTCCTTTTTATAAAGGGTGCATTGGTTGCATCCTAACCCTGACCTTTTGCCCCTAGCCGAACTACCTCCCCTTTCCTTGGGGGTCCACATCATAGCAGCTGCCATTAATTCAGCCTTTCGTTGCATCTTTTGGTCTTTCTTTCGCTCCTCCTCTTTTTCCCGATTCACAAAGACTTTCCTTGCCACTTCCACGAGCTCACTCATGGGCTTACCTGTGGGAGGCCACCCCAGCCCAAATGTTGGCCACTCTCCCTCACAGAACACCTGCAGTTTATGCCTACTCCATTCAAGGCCATAGTCCTGAGATTCATATGCTTCCTTAAAATGCTTTAACATAGACCCAGTGGGGTCAGGGCCTTACTCTCCCCTCCACCCATGAGCCACCCAGGTCACCAGACAAGACAATTGGGAAAAGGGGTTGGAGAGGAGGGTATGGGGTCCCTCCTTTTCCGAAAACACCAGGGATTTACACACAATCACGTCCGACCCAGGGAGCTGGATACACACAGTCTCCGATGGGAACTGCGGGTGCCACTCGCTTTCTACTGGCCCATGGTGCTGGACACTCACAGTCACCAATGGGAACCGCAGTAGTCATTCACGTCAGTCACTCCTGACAGATCCTCCCACCTTTACCTAAGAGAGGGTGATCAGTCCTCGTCCCTGTTTACAGGGAGGGATTATTTTCCCAAATTCAATACTTGCCTGCAGTCAACTTCCTTCTCCACTGGCCGGCCCGAAGATGTCCTGGTCTCCTCACCTTTCATCTGTGGTTCTTGGGGGTGTCAACCGCCATCACCAGAACAGGGTAGTCTTGGGAAGTCCCTCGGATTCAAAGGACCGATGGCACCTGGGATGTTCCTTTCAACTCACCCAGTCGCTGGCACCTGGGGTGGACCCTCCAGAGGGCCTCAGGCCCCCCTTGTGTCTCGCCGCGGTCGCCATAAATGTTGCAGCAGATCCTGCTTCCAAATCAGGACACAAGACCATGAAAGGTTGGAGAATACAGGTATATTTGTGCACAAGGTTCAGAGCATTAACATGGCAAATTCTGAACCCCTGGCTCTTCCTGAGGCGTCACTTTTATACATTTTGTGACCTCAGCTTAGCCCGGGGCATTTCTCTTATTAAACTATACCAAAAAAGGAGAAGTACATTTAATTATTCATTTTATCTTACACCATCTGTTATTTTCCATATCCACCCTTGCTTACTGGAACATGGCTAGTTCCTTGGTTCAGTAACTTTGTGGTTTTGCACAATATTGTATTAAGCAAAGCTTGGGGGCTTGGGGACTTCTGCTAAATGTAAAAATACTTTATTTGTAATTTTCCACTGCTTCAACCCGAGTCCCGAATAACAGAATAAAAATATTGGCAGGGACCCTGGAGGTCTTCTGGTCTAACCCCCTGCTCAAGCAGAAGACCCCATAGTACCATTTCTGAAAAATGGCTGTCCAATCTCTTCTTAAAAATCTCCAGTGTTGGAGAACTCATGACTTATGGAGGCAAGTTGTTCCACTGGTTAATTGTTCTCATGGTCAGGAAATTTCTCCTTCATTCTAGGCTGGTTCTCTCCTTGATTTGATTCCATTTCTGAATCAGACCTCTCAAATTTTATCTTACAGAGTGTCAACTCATAAAACCTTCCTATGCCTGTTTTTGAGTTGCCATAAACAAGGAGGAGGGATCTGAAAGAGCAGTTTAAAACCAGAAGTACATTCCACGCTTATCTTATAAAGATTGTAGCTAGGCTACCAGATCTTCTGCCCTCGAAAATCTTTCATTGGAGAACGTGATTGATGATACCCAGGCCTTGAACGTGCTTCATTGGAGAATCTGATTGATGACACACCCAGGGAGAAGAGGGGGAAACAGGGTCACAGGGGACTGTAAATGACGTAGGCCAGAGTTGGCTTCATTTAGGTTAATAGCAATAGCACTTAGACTTATAGCCTGCTGTATAGCGCTTTACAGTCCTCTCTAAGTGGTTTACAGAGTCAGCATATTGCCCCCAACAATGCCAAGATGTTGCTCCTAATAAATCTTTTGGATTCTTTTGAAGCTTGGCTCGAGGCTCATAATTTAATTAGGGCAATCCCCGGAATCCTGACATCAAGCCAACTCTGGCATATTATTCCAGAGTCAGTTCCTTTGCTATTATCACTGACTTAGTAGCATCCATGTATATAGATGTTGGTTTGGTTGTTTGAAGAATGTGTGTTAGAAAGGAAGAAAATCACTGGTTTGGTTAAAAAAAAAAATGGTTCTTGTTCTTCTTGTCTATGGAACGTCTCCATCATCCAGATTATGGTTTTCCCAAAATTATTGTTCAGAAGGCAACTAGACTTCTTCGGGGGGTTTTCTTTCTTTCTTGAAAACGTTCTGCTTCTTATCCAATAAACTTCTTCAATTCTGGCTCAGGGTTTCTTGCTTGATCAGGGGGTTGGGCTAGAAGATCTTGAAGATTCCTTCCAACTCTCTATTCTGCAATAAATATACTTTCTGAGGGGCGGCCTTTGTGGTTATTTATCAGCCCAGCTAGATCATCAGGAGAGGTTCTTTGGAGGCTGTTCTTTTTGCCAAAACTGAGCTTTGGATATTCAGAAGATTTCTTTTCCTGATGCTCCATCCAGGGAGGTACATCGGCTCCTTATTTTCATAAAATTATAGGGAAAAGGCAAGAATGCATTGCTTTCCCCCCAGGCTTTCACTAATTGATGTAATGTTATTTTGTTGCTCTTGTTTCTAATGTTGATACTGACTTTATGGAAATATTTTGCATTCTGCATTTGGCCTTTGGTTTCGTTTAATTGAGGAAAGGCTCTTCCATAAACAAATGTGGTTATAAATTCAATGATAAATGTAATTGATAAAACATAGCAGCAAATCCATAGCTCTTGAAAAGTTTTCCTAGAGATTGCATAGCTTTGAAAAGACACGTCTATTGAGGGATAGATGTGTCTATCTATTCTATCTATTATAATATTATAATAATATTACACACACACAAACACACACACACTTATTATTATATTATATATCTATTGTGGGGACGCAGTGGCTCAGTGGCTAAGATGCTTAGCTTGTCGATCAGAAAGGTCAGCAGTTCAGCGGTTCGAATCCCTAGCCCCACGTAATGGAATGAGCTCCCGTTCCTTGTTCCAGCTTCTGCCAACCTGGCAATTCGAAAGCACATAAAAAAATGCAAGTAGAAAAATAGGGACCCCTTTGGTGGGAAGGGAACAGCATTACGTGCACCTTCAGCATTTAGTCATGCTGGCCACATAACCATGGAGACGTCTTCGGACAGCGCTGGCTCTTCTTCAGCTTTGTAACGAAGAGGAGCACTGCCCCCTAGAGCTGGAAATGACTGGTACGGATGTGCGAGGGGAACCTTTACCTTTACCTGTATTGAGGGATCCTTAGTGCCTTCTGAATTCAGTTCATTTCTTACAGATGTTTCATTACCCAACAAAGTGCTATCATCAGTGCTGAAAGAGAATGGGGCAAATTCAGTGGGTAATGAAACATCCAACAACCATCTTGGAGTCAGTTGTTTTATTATTGTTATTATTATTCGGTCTTCAGGTATCAGATTCTCCGTGCTTCACAAAGTGAGGCTGTCTTCATGTCTGGATTTTTTTCTGCCTCCCTGGGTCAAAGAGTTATTAGTATGCTGATTGAGTTTCCATCAGAAATCAAAGCAGGTTAAAATGTGACACCAATCTGGTGTGCCACTCTGAACTGTTTAGGAAGAAGTCTAGCTTCACTAGGCTGTAAAGTAAAAGAAAATTGTCCAGAATGCAAGACAGTTTAAAAATAACAAAGTTTTATGCTGAAGAAAGCAGCTTTACATTCTCAAGAGCCCCAGGAAAAGATTTTCATTGAGCAAAGACCATCAAATTCCATCAGGAACATTTGGGAGTTGATAAGTTCTCCAAGGATCTTCACTTGCATTTAAATACACCCATATGGCAGCTGCTCCCTGGCAGTAGCTATGAATACACAAAGGGGGACCTACTATAATCTTCTCTGCTTGTGAACCTCTGAATACAAAAAGATAGAAAAAAATATGTGTAGCTCAGGGTTGAAATTTGGGGTCCTTTGTGCTCTCCGAGCTTGCTTGTTTTCTTGCAGACATTCCATTACCCAACTAGGTAACATCATCAGTGTTAGAAGGGAGCGGGGTTTGCTCTCTGCTTATGTACTTGTGGCTTGCCCTGTCAGTGTTGGTTGGAATGTTCTTGGTGGTTCCTTCATTAGGCTGTTGTTTAATATTATTATTTTTTGCTTGTTTGAGTTTTTCCAGCAAAGCCATGACTTCCACAGAAGAACATTAAGCATGGATAGTTATAAACTTGATAACGTGAGTAGGAATAACAGGTTCAACAGAAAGTCCTGAAACCCTTTAGCAGTCCCATAAAAGTGCTAAAAAGTTGATTATGTGCCTTCAAGTCTGTGTTAATTCTCAGAAGACACAACAATAGACCTTCTACAGGATGATCTGAACCCAATGTGATCCTTCAATGGTTCATCCATTGTCACTGCAACCAGGTCCGTCTACTTTTCTGCTGTTATCCTGTTCTTCTCTTTCCTTCTACCTTTCCTAGCATCATATATATATATTTCCAGAGATCTATGATCAGGGGTGGGATTCTACTAATTCGGACCAGTTCGGGTGATCCAGTAGTTCCAGTGAGCATTTGGCCCCACCCACCCACACCTGCTCTTTCCTGTACTTTATTTCATTGTTTTAGAGCACAGCTGATTCGCATGACAGAGCAGTTTTGTGGCACCTCAGCTGTTTTCTTCACAGGGGCTGCAGTAGAAGGTAAGAATTAGAGCTGAAAATGGGCTTTTTGAAATGCGGAGT